TGTTGATTTCACGTTGTTGGTTCTCCGTTATAGAGATGAGCAAATGATCGCATTTTTGCACCTCTTCAGGTCTAGGTTCATGGACTCGAAGGAACAAGTCGCGGTTTCAGTAATTATTAGACATTACTTGAGTCTTTTGATCTTCAGAACAAGAGAATGTCGTCAGGAAACCTCAAGTGCCAGTTTATCCTCACCCCATAATTTTTTCAATGTAGCGTTTTTACTGTTTCATTAGAATAAATACTGCTATGAGTAGCTTCGATAATATTGCATCACCTCACCCAGCGCCCTTCATTATGTGTCACACTGGCAGTTGCATTCTTGTAAATTGCGGGAACAGGGTTCCTTTATCGTTTTTTAATTAACAAAAACTTCATGTTGCATCCCCATTACTTCCCCGAACTCGATATAGCTTTGTCGTTGCGAAGCCAGTTTGATTGGAAGTACGGCTTTGTCACTCAAGCCGAAAAAAAGGTACGTCACCTCATACAACGAGTGTCACCATTCGATGTATCGTTTCTACTAAATACGATCAGGAAGAAACGACCAACGTCTCGCCGTTGACAGGCTGCAGAACGGAGTTTAGGCTTTTACCGTGCATAACTATTGTGCGCTCGTGACTCGTGTACGAAACGCTGTTGAACTTACTCAGCGCGTGAAATTGAGTCAAAAAAGTGTCACGGTTGCATCAACTTCATCTTCTCGACCCTTATGAAGATTCTCTTAAAAAATTATAGGAGCCTTTCTAAGAAGATGAAACCATTCTAATACCACGTTATTATTTTTTACACTGTCAGAGAGTTGTTTTCACGCTTTTCTTTGTTAATACGATACTCGTTTCGTGTAGCGGGCATCTTTTGCATACTCAGTTTTTATGGTTTCTTTAGTTAAGCCCTGCTATACTTTTTCCATCAGTAATCATTTTTGTCCGTTAAATAGTCAGAATACCCTTTTTTGTCCATGTGTTCTAATAGACCAACCGTTTAACGCTAAATTTGTTTTTCGAAACTTTCTATTTTTCGATATTCTTGCACATACTCAAAATAGCTGTTTGGCCGGCCTTTTAACCTCGGGGCAATCGCGCTGATAGTATTGGCCGTACGTTAGGTTGTCTTTTCCCGTTCGCTCCGCATATGCGGTAGCAACAAGACCAGGAAGAAATGGTCATATTCTTCCAAATTCTGTGTACTGGTTAACCCACTGACGCAAGGTCAAGAACGCTTAATTACCCCTAATGGCCCCCTAGCAATGAAAAATAGGCCCTTTGCTCATGAGAGCTCAGTGTCTCTTGGCTAATAATGAACGGTAATAAACCGACAGTCTCTGTGTTAAGGATAGTGTTTGGCACGACGAGTGTTTATTCTCGTGCCTTATCATCGATATTGCGGCAATTTTCATTCAGGATGAAGTTAAGTATGGAACGGATGAAATGTGCCATTACTTAATACATTGAATTAAAACTTGTGTTAGAATGTATTTCGGTTACTGCCATCGCATTAGTTTCTGCAGACTGAGTTTAACGCCAAAGGTTTCAGTTGAATTTGCTCTGAACATTGAGTCGTTTTGCATGATGGACAGAATTTAGTTTAATATAATTTGCAAGCAAACATCGCTAATTGCCGTGCAGCTTTCTCTATAATCATTCTTACATGATCCATTGAAACTGAAAAAAAGTATAGGAACAGTTACTTATACACCACGCAAGGCAACAAGTTAGGCAACGGATGCGAACTATGCACAGATTGAACAAATTTCAATGCGATTCAAATTTTATCATGTTCGTTACCGAGAAGCTTCTTAACCAGCAGCACGGGCCAAGGTCACACCTTTCGTTCCACGCGTCACAGCTGCTGTGAACCACAACATCAACTGCAAAAATCAGTGTCGACCACACTAAAAAAGGCACGTCATGAACGATCCGAGACGTCGGTACTGGTCAATCACTCGATTACCAACTTGTTTGCACGCGTTATATATAAATAAACCATTTCTATTCGTTTTCGGTTTTCAGTATGATCCCCAACCCACGAACAAAATACTCAACCTCCTGTTATGTTCCTTGTCTATTAATTTTGAAGCGTGTATGATGTTTAGCACCTTCAGAGTCGATGCCTTGACAGTTTGCACAATCATTTTTATCTCTTTTTTCAGTAAATGGCAAAAATTGCGATTGCCATTGTTTCACTGCCTATCTGCCGCTTAACCTAAATCACAAAGAAAAAACACCTCGATAATTTTAGAACTAGTATTTCAGGTCAGATTTAATTTTCCCCACCAACCTGGCTTTATTGCAATCATCTAGAGCTGCTTTTAGCCTAATTGTGTCGAAAAATTCACATTATTAACATCGCCAGGATTTAGAACCGAATTTAGGATATCTTCAGATCGTTTCCCTAGTCTCTTGTAACTGCTTTCTCAAGTGCACAATTTCCGTTTACATATTTTACCGATTGAAAAATACCCTTAACTTTTCCTACAGACAGCAAATTGCATCAGAGATTGATTTATATATGCCAGTTTCTATTCAAAACTCAGTATTTTGACGAACGATTCCTATTCATTGCGTTCAGAGCCTTCGCTGCCGCTATATTATATTCAAAATACTGAATATACATAGCAAAGGAAGATCTGCTTGCAATCTATATGCAATATGTTTTCTGACGACTTCTTGAACTACCAGTTTTCTCAAAGGAAAGTTCTTCTTATCAGCAATAAGAAGCTTCTTTAGCTTATCACAAGATTAGGTCGAATGCGTTATGAACTTTTCTAATCAGTGGCCAGTATATCTCGGTGTTTTCAAGACTGTCCCTGAAACCTCGTTAAATGCTGCTTTAAAATTGTTCACAAACTCTTTCGCACATTGACTTCTGACGCATCTGCACTTTTTTGTAACCAAATTTTGAACTACCCATTCGTATGTCTGGGCGACTATTGGAACACAAAATTTGCGTACAGCTAGATTGGAATGCATCGAAGGTTTCTTTTCGGTTTCAGCAGAACATTCGGACCACCGTAAAACCATGTTGGAGTAAATCAGTTAGCGCTGTCCTAAGTGGTCGCAATATCAGTTGCAGAGTATTTCGTTCGTGCGTTTGGGATCGTACTGAATAATAAACAGTGTATGACACGGCTTGATGCTGCACAACGGAAAACAGAGTGCTATCAGTCAGATCATTGACGAATGCAAGCGTTTTGGCCAGAGACTCACGGGCCTTCTTCAAGGTAGGTCGTTGGTAAAATTTCGCGAATGTGGTTGGTCGTCTGCAGCAGTTGACGGTATCCTAGCCAGAAGGCAGGCTTTCGGTCCGTGTTGCTGGTTAAATGGCTTTCAGGTGACAAGGGCAATTAAGCTAATTCAATCCGCAAAGAATTCGTATCCTTTGTCCCAGTTGACTTTTACGCAGGATTGGATGGTCAATGCCTCTCTAATGTGTCTGTGTAGCAAATGCCTCTCGTTGATGATGCTGTTACCCTCAGAGGGAGTTGCATCCTTGCTGAGTCACATGCTACACGGTCTCAAAGGTCTTCTACTATTGTTCTTTGACCCTGTACTTCATTTCCACGCATCTTTCACAATTCTCTGCGATCATCCATTTTCTTCAGCTTGACAGGTGGGTATCTATTTGCTGCATGACAGTTTACTTTGTTTCTTTTATGTAAAATTTCCCGCAGTTGCACTGCAATTTTTGAATTAGGCTTAGGGAGTTTTATTCTCAGAATTATTTAGTGACTCATTAAGTTTATTAGAGCACGCATCTATA